CAAGGCAGCTCTTGTGTTTCCAAGTATATACAATACACATGTGTTTATTTCTAAAATAAACACACACATAAAATATATGTGATGCATGCACCTGACATTCATACTCTTTAGAGGATGCTTATTCCCAGGACAACATTCTCAACCTGAAGGTTACAGAGGTGACACTGATATGAATCCTTCCAGGTACACTTGTGCAGAAGAGAGAGATGGACTTTTTGGGATCACATGATATACCAAATCACCCTTACTATGTTGAAATGTTTCCCCATGAAACAGGGTATCTTAGACACCTGTCCCTGTGAAGACCTATAAATCTGGCCATTCTCCTCTGACTCTGCCTTAAGGGTGTGCTGTCACCTGTAATAAAACTTCATTTCTAATTCACCTTAAAAAGAAAGACCTGTACATCTGTTCATTATTTGTAACACTTCCACTGTAAAACATTTGTGTATTGTGCATTTGAACAGATTTCCAAGGGAAGGAATGCATGCACATGGTAAGAAAAAACAAAGGTCAGTAGGACAGGATAGGGAGCCATGAAAAAGCCCAAGTCCCTGTCTCCTGTCTTCTCCTCCCCCAGAGGAACTACTACTAACCATTAGCTGTTTTATAAGCAATAGGCTTGATTTTCAGAAAAGCTTTACATTTACAGAAAAACTGAGCCAATAGAACAGAGTTCCCACTGCCACCCACACTAAGTTTCTCCTATTATTAACATCTTGTATTGGTGTGGGGCATTTATTACAAATAAGGAACCAGTACTGATAGATTTATTATTAGCAAGTGCCCATGGTTTACAGTAAGGTCATTTTATTTAGCTCTGTGGTCTTTGACAAATGCCAAGTGTCATCCATCCTTACAGTGTCGTGCAGAATAGCCTCCTCCTCCTAAAAAATTGCCTGTGGTTATTATTATTTTAAATAATACACCTAGACTTCTTTTTATTAGTTCACCATTTATTAGTTCATTAACACTAAGTAGCATTACTGACTTGTCGTAAAGACAGGGGAGCTACTGCTTGATCCTTTTTCCATCTCCCTGTTTTTGTCAGTTACATTACCATTTCAGTCACTCATTCAAACATCTATTTACCAAGGGCTTGTTGTGCACTAGCCAGCATGCTACACGCTGGGGCCAGAAGGAAGAAAGCAGGTAAGACTCTCTGCCAGTATGGAGCCCACATCCTAGTAGAGGAGGTAATAAATAAGAAAAACAAGGAATTTTTGACAAACATTAGAAAAATATAGAAAGAAAGGTGATATAGTGAACATAAGTGAGAGAGAGAGGGAGAGAGAGAGAGAGAGGTTTTCAGTAGGAGGGGAAGGCCTCAATGAGAAGGTGATATCTGAGTGAAGTATTGAAATGAATTGGGTCATGATCTGTGGGAGAGAGTAGCAAGTGCAAAGGCCCTGAGGCAGGAGAGCTTGTCTTGCTGGAGGGATGGATGGTGAGGAGTTTCATGATCAAGGGACAGGTGGAGAGGTGACAGGTGGAGCGGGGGACAGGTGGAGGGGGTACATGAGGGTCAGAGAGGAACTGCAGGTCTTGTAAAGCTGACCTGAGCTTTATTCAGAGAAAGAGAAGGGTCTGGTGGATTATAAGCAAAGGAATGACACCCCCATACTTCAGTTTTAAATTTTTTATGGTTGTTAATATACAGCCCATTTTGTAAATATAATGATCTTCCATGCTTTTTCTATAGATTGGTATAACAATTAATGATCACAAAACAGTATTTCTAATAAGGGTAAACAAATATCATAGTAAACAGAAGCCATATTACTTTTTGTGTCTCTCTGGGTCCCATTCTTGCCTCTACCCTCCTTAGTCTTTCTTTCCACCCTGTCCTGGGTGGCTACCCAGGATGGATTCAGGGCTCCACAAGAGACACCCAACTGGAGCTTTTCCTGCACTTCAGTCCCTGGCGCCATTTTGTAGTCTAGCCTGTTCCAGTTGGACTCAGCTTGGCTGACAGGGCAGATCAGCTTCCCTGGGGTGGTCAGAGGGAGGAGCCTGCACTGGGCTATGACCAGGGGACATTCTGTCCAGCAGTTGCATGCAGAGTCAACAAGTCAATAAGAATTGAGTGAGTAATTCTGGAACCCAGCACTGTCCCAGAGGAATGCCCCAAGAAGGGTAAGTTAGAGCTTGCATCCCAGGGGCAGTATAAGGTTTCCCTGGCAAGGAGGAAACATCAACACCAGTCCCCCTGCCTCTCAAATGCTTCTTCATCCTTCTGATAGCCCAAGTAATCCAAGCTGGGCCAGAGCCTCTCCTGGACGGGGCTCCCAGGGAAGATGCCAATTCTGGGGAAAGGTTTAGAATGAGTCATCTCCCCTTGTCCCAGGTCAAGAGACCGGAGGACAGGACTCCCAGTTTTCAAGGACCTACACAGGCCACTGGGGAGGTGTAGTTTGGGAACTGGATGTTTAGTTGATAAAGACCTTTCTCAATAGGGTATGTGATGATGAATTTCCTCCTACGGGCTTTTCTTTACCCACTCATCTTGCTATCCAAACTTTCTGTCTCTTGCTGTTTCTCCTACATCTAAAAGCCTGGCACCCTTCTAGCCAGTCAGCTGAAGAAAGACGTGTGGGTGGCCGGGTCATGTTTAGTAGGAGCCATGGGTGCTCAGATGACTATGGAGAGTTGGTACGGCATCATCAAAAGATGCTGGGTCCTCTTAGCAAGCCCACATTTTTATCCCCGCTTTGCCATTTACAAAGCTGTGTGACCTCATCTAGGTTGCTTGACCTCTCTGGTCCACTATTTTCATCAGCAAAATAAGTACCATAAAAAAGAAATACCTAGCATGATAATCAAAAACAAATGAGAGGATTCTGCAAACTTTAAAAGCACATATGATTGTGAACTAAACTGGACCCAGGCTTACTGAGCCTGGAGCTCAGTAAGGGCAGAGGAGGAGGTGCTAGCAGGGAAGCAGACTTAGGTCTGGAGTCTTGTTTCCTCAATGTTAGACATTTGGATGTGTCAGGATCCAAAATGACACTAACGCAGGAGCTGCTGTGGGTAGGAGGGCTGGAGGGAGAGGCTAGGGGAAGGCATGCCTGGCTCACAGGCTTAGTCCTTTGGGGTCCCTAAGGCAGGGGTGTGGGAACCTCCAGTTCCCTCTACTGCTGCCCTCTGGGCTTCCAGAGTTACCTTAGTGGATGCCTCTCTTCCCTCATGGTGCTGTCCACTCCCTACTCCCACCCAGGACAGTTGAGAATTAGGGAATTAGCTGTCCCAGGCATGGGGTTACTAAGGCAGGACATGGGCTAAAAAGCTGTGGAGGGGAAACTGACAGCTTCCTTTCCCTACCTCCTGATTGGGGTGTACTGGGAAAGGGCACCCTTTCCTCCACCCTGTCCCCGCCCCTGTGTCCGTTAGGCTCTGCATCTTTGGGCCTGAGTCTGGAAACACAGGGTGTGGGAACAAAGAGGTCTTATTACTGGTATTGTTACATACCATTATTCCCATAATAATCTGTTATTAACATGTCAATGAATAGGCCCTTAAGAAACTGCAGGCCTGGAGAAGCTGAGAAGGGCCAGAATAACGATCTAGGGGTGCCACCTTCCAGTGCCCAGCCTCATCTTGGGGCCCCTATTCTTCCCTAAGGCAACAAACGTGGGGGAAGGGGAGGAATAGTATTTATTGAGACTGAGAGTTGCCAGGCCCTGTCCTGGGCAGGTCTTATGCATGTAATCTTATTCATCACAACAGCTCCATGAATAAGAATAAATCAATGACCCACTGGAAAGAGGAGTAAGTCAAAGGGGATCATGAAATTGCCCCACGGGGACAGGACACAGTAATCAAGGGGAGAGAGGGGAGGTTTAGCCCAACTCTGCTAAGCTTTACAGTGTCTTTTCACTGTATTCTTCAGGCGGAAAAGGGAGGGGAGCCTTCTCTCTCCTCACCCTGCTGCAGCTCAGAATCCAGGGGGAAGGCCACTCTTAGGAGGGGGAGGAGAAGCAGGGCCCATGCTCAGGCCTGGGGAGACTCTGCCAGGCACGGCCAGCACGTGGGGTGTGTGCCCTGGTCCCTCCAAGTGTGTGCAGGGACACCCTCAAGGCTCCACTCAGTTGCCTTAACTCCTCTCTTCTGGCCTCCAGCTCGGGAACGCGGGTAGGGGAGGAGGGGGTAGTGGGTTCGAGCAGAGACAGCTGTGAGTTGCTTCTTTTGTGCCCAAGGGGGAGGAATTCAACACAGGCTCTAGCCCCCCAGCCCCGCCCCCAGGTTCTTCCTCATTTTTCAGATTGCACGCCGCCGTGGGGGAGCTGGCCAAGTTAGGGGCTGGGGGCCGGGGGCCGGGGCTCCGCGGCCTGGGAAGCGTCCAGAGGTTGTCTGATGCCCACCTTGCCAGGCCTCACCGCTGCTTCTGCGGAGCCCTTCACCCCTCGCGCCAGCCGCGACCCTCCCAGCGAGGACCCGCTCCCCGCCTCCACCTTCCCCCGGGGTCCCAGGCCGGGGAGCTGTGGTTCCCGGAGGCGGCGGCCTCCCGGCCGGGCGGCCCCCTCCCGGCCCAGCCCGCCCCGCCCGGCGCCCGGCGCCCCCGCCGCGGCCCCGCCCCCCGCGGCCCTGCCCGGGCGGGTGCGCGGCGGAGGGGAGGGCCGGCCGGGGCAGGAATGCGGGGCGGGCGGCGCAGGAGGCGAGCGGCGGAACATGTAAGGGCACATCCCGCGAGCTGCCGCCCTGCGCGCAGACGGAGCCCTGGGGAGCGCGCGAGCGGACCGCGGGCTCTCGGCCGGGAAGCCGCGGGGCAGCGGGAGCCGCGCGGGGAGCCGCGGGGGCCGAGGCGGGGCAGCGGGCGCCCAGCGGGCCGGGGGACGCTCGCGCGCCGCCGGGACTGCCGCGTCCGGACGAGCGCGGGGCGGGCGCGCGGGGCAGTCGGGGCGCAGGTGGCCGGGCGCGCGGCCAGCCCGCCCGGGGCGCCTGAATCCGCCGGCACCGCCGGGAGGGCGCCGCGCCCGCCGCAGCCGCCGGCTTTCCCGGGACCGGGGCGCCCATGACGGCGGCCGCCGCGGTGCTCAAGGAGGGCGTGCTGGAGAAGCGCAGCGGCGGGCTGCTGCAGCTGTGGAAGCGCAAGCGCTGTGTGCTCACCGAGCGCGGGCTGCAGCTCTTCGAGGCCAAGGGCACGGGCGGCCGGCCCAAGGAGCTCAGCTTCGCGCGCATCAAGGCCGTGGAATGCGTGGAGAGCACCGGGCGCCACATCTACTTCACGCTGGTGACTGAGGGCGGGGGCGAGATCGACTTCCGCTGCCCGCTCGAGGACCCCGGCTGGAACGCCCAGATCACGCTGGGCCTGGTCAAGTTCAAGAACCAGCAGGCCATCCAGACCGTGCGCGCCCGGCAGAGCCTCGGGGCCGGGACCCTCGTGTCCTAAACCGCCCCGCGCCCCATCTTACCTCCACGCTCCCCACCCACGAGGTGCGGAGATCCCTCCAGGTAAGCGTCCTGGGGGCTGAGCCCGCTTTCTCGCCCCCCTCCCTTCTCTTGCTCCTAGAGGGATGGGGCTCCCACTTCAAAGCTGGACCATCCCAGGGCCGACAGAGTAGGAGCTCCCGGGGGTGGGCTCCGGGGCCCCAGAGTTGGACTGTCTCTGGTGTCTCTGGCTGTCAGGCACGAGGGTTCTCAAGTGACCAGGGCCTGTGAAGGATGAATGGACGGGCCTTCTCCCAGGCTGCTGGGTACTGTCCCCCAGGCTGCTGGGCCTCTGCCCGGGCTGTGGCTTCTGGGAGCTGAGACGGTGAGCCGGGAAGGTGGGATGAACCAAAGCTTGACCCTCCTTTGAGGACGAGCATTTGTCAAGAACGGAATTAAGAAAGACAGTGACCCTCGGCAGAGTCATCAGGGGTTGGGAAGAGAACCAGGAGTCGCAGCACCCACAGTGGGGCCTCCGCAGGAGCTTGGCTGGGCCCCTGGGTGCCAGTGTCCACTTGAGTCCTGAGCTGGTGGGAGGCCAGGGGAGTCAGAGGGTGGGCAAACCAGGCCAGAGGCCAAGCCAAGGAAGCCAAAGGGAGTGGGCCTGTCTGCCTTCCCCTGAGTACCAACCTGTGCCCACTGTGCCAGAGGAGACGCTGTGGGAGGGGCTGGGGCACTGGAGCATGGTAGGCGGGTGGGGTGCAGGACAGGGTCATGATTGGTGATATCTTAATCCTCCTTGAGCCGCAGAGTCGCGTAGAGTCGGGGGTGGGGGGTGATTTGTGGTCAGAAAGACCCAGGGGAGGGACCAGGAATAGAACCTAGAAGCCCTGGCTCCAGCCCTGTGCCCCATGCCCTCTTCCCCAGATGCCACTCCCTCCCCATGGGAACTAGCAGCAGGTTGGAGGAAGAGGTTACAACCTTCTAGTTGAAATTTCTCTGGTGGAAACCTATACCCAGTCACCCCACTACCACCTCCTACACACCTTCACCCTCCCTGCCCTGCAGCTTCTCCACCTGAAAACATGAGGCCAGTGAGCCTGAGGGCCCCACGTGGGGTTCTAGAGCCCTGGCCCTCCTGTTAGCTGACACCTCAGGTTGTATTGAGGCTCCGAGGCGTGCTGAGAACTGACCCACACTGATCCTCAGGCCTCAGGGAGACTGTGAGGACACAGGTCCCCGAATTCACTTGTTTGTTGCACTCATGCTGCTGTTTCTGTGTCCCGATGTGGAAGACGTTGGGGCCCCTGGGGTACAACAGCTTCCAATAGATGCTCGTTACCCAGGTGTCTGCCCCATCCTGACTGCTGTTCTTTCTTACCAGCTTCCCTGCCCCTTTTGGCTTATGGGGGCATGACTGTGCCCGAGATGGCGAGGCAGAAGCAGTGGACATGTGGAGGAGACACTGGAGCTGAAGGAGTGGACAGGGCCCGGGGAGGAAGGCAGAAGGCCGCGAGGGGCTGAGGATGAAGATTCAGCCCCTGGACACTTTCAGATTCTCAGGACATAGCCAGCTATGGGCCTTGTAGTCCCTGGCCTGGCCTCTGGCATCGTGATGGAGAGCTGGCATCAGAGCCCCTCCCCCGTGCTGGCCCTGCCATCTGTTCTGCAGACTGCTGTTGGGCCCCAGCGTGGTGCCTGCCTGGAGGAGCGTCATCCCCATGGGGTTTAAGCCAGAGCCTCAGGACTTCGGGGGCCAACCTGGTACCCAGAGGAGGAATCATCCTGGACTCATCATGGCTGGGGGAGCTGATGGGCCTGATGCTCACACTTGGGGGTCTTCTGCTGCTTAGGTCCTTCTGGGACCCCCATCCATCCAGGCCCTCTCTTTGCACACTTCTTCCTCCACCTCCTGCCCATCTTCCCTCCACTGCGGTGCCAGGCCTGGAGGTGGTGGGGGTCTGGTGGGGGTTTGGCCATTACCATTTCATACCTATCCCAAAATGAAGTTGCCCTGCTAAGGGCAGTGACCACACTGTTTGCTGAGTGAAATTCTTTACCCACAGCCACCCAGTACTTGGAACATCTCTCCCCACCTCTACTTCCCCAACCTAAAGCTCATTCTGAAATCTCTAGCCTGGGTTGGGAGGGAGGGGACACAGCAACCAGGGAGACATGGCTTCAGTGGTCCCAGGAAGGAGGGATGTTAGGCCCAGGGCGAGCGGTGAGTGTCTTCTCCAGGAGGATGCCATCCTGGGAATGGCTCAGCTTTCTGGGCAGCGCCTCCCTCCCTGTCAGTTACACACTCAGGCTTTATACACGTGCAGAGCAAGGCTTCTGCTCTGGACGGTTGAATGGAACAATTTCAGCACTGGGGAAACCAAGGTACAGGAAAGTAGCTGCCCTGAGTTTTGCAAAAACTATGAATCGGTCACCCAGGAGATCTTTCCAGGTTGTCAGTTCATTCCACCTGCTTTCCTGTGTCATCCACCCACTTCTGGCCTTCCTGGCTGCAAACCAGTGGCCTACTTCGGAATCTCTGGAAAGAGCAAGGAGGCTGAATGGCCTCCCATAATTTTAGTTGCATTTTACTAGCCTCTTTGTTCTTCCAACCGGTTGGGCTCCCTGTCAGATTTATACCATCCTCTTAAAAACCTCTCTGTCCCACATCTCATTCCCTCAGCCACCTCAGGAGCGTCTTGTTCATCTGATATATGAACTACATCTCACAATCGGATAAGAATTTACTGATTAGAAATCTTTCCAAATATCTGTTATCAAGTTGTACACCTGCCCCCTGGGCAGCCCGGTGCCAGCATGGAGGACAAGCATCGTCTCCCCACAATGCTGAGAAAGAGCTGGGGGATCCATTTGTCTGTCGTGGGGTTTGGGGAGAAGGTTGGGGAGGGGTGTTGGTGTTTGCCATTCCTTTGATTCAAGCTCTGCCTGTGGGAGAACATCTCCCGCCTGTAAAACAGCAGCCTCTAAAACAGAGTCCTTGCTCTTCCAGAGGTGATGATGGGAACACCGGCATAAAGGAAGGTCTCCGGGCGGTCAGATGTAGGAGCCTGATGGAGCAGATGGAGTCGGGATCCGGCACTCTCATGCAGCCAACCTGCTAAGTGCCTCCGCTGGGCCAGGCCCTGCACTCAGCACTGGAGATGGGAGATAAAAACGACCCCACCTGTCCTGCCCTAGAAGCCCTGAGGAAAGTGGGGGGACCAAATGGCATCCTGTGCCAGCAGAGCTGGCTGGGAGCAGCCAGGGGAGCGCTGGATTGCCTGCGCCCAGCACTGCGGCTGAGCAGGGCTGGGAGGGATGGTTCTGGGAACTTGACAGCAAAGGCCAGAGGGGTGGAGGGACATAGGGAGGAGGGGAGCTAGAATTTGTAGCTTTTTGAAGACACCAGGAACTCAGAGATCTGGGCTCACACACCAAGTCTTGTTTTTATTTGTAAGAATCTGTGATGTCTGCAGAGTCTGCCTTGCCGGGCAAGGGGCAGCCAGTATCCTGGGCCCAAGGGTGTCCCCAGTGTTCTGACAATTCTGAATTCCGAAGGAACACAAGCCCTCACCCTAGGAACACTTGGCTGGACCACAAGTAGGGTCAAGGCCTCCTTGGGGGCACGAGCAGGCGGCAGACACGCACACACGCGCACGAATGGAAGAACTGTGCTCGGTTGGCCTGTGGGTGAGGGAGGTGGGGAGGGGCTGCTGCCACCGTCTCTCCCCCTGCCCTGGCAGCCCTGGCACCACCCCGCCCGCTGCATGAGTCATCAATGGGAAAATGAGACAGGGCAAGTCCCAGCTGAGCAACTGGGAGTCCGATGAGGCGAGGCGTGGGGAGGCTGAGAGCAAAAGGGATGGGCTCGCCTGGTCAGGGTGAGCTGGGCCTGGGAGCTGAAGTTTTGGCAAGAGTGAGGCTGTTGCCAGGGCAGAAGGAGCTAGAATTAAGAGTCCCTGAGCTGGAAGTGCAGCTGGGGGGGGGGGGCGGGGGTTGGGGGGGTTGGGAGGGTTTGTGTGGGGGAGGGATGGGGTGGCAGGGCAGTGCTGGCAGATCCACAGGGCGTCATGGTGTGTACCCCTGACATCTGGCCTTTCCCAGAAGGCAGGATACATAGATGTCGTGGGCAGCTGTTCACCGGGGCAGGCCCAGGACCCTGGCGAGACTTGCTGAGCTTGCTGACAACCTCAAAGCTGTGCTATGAGCTCTGTGTTGGCCTACTCCAAACAGCTTCTCTGTCTGGAATGCCATTCATTCTGCTCAGAACCTCCAGAGGTTTCCCTGTGACCGTGGGAGGAAGGCCAAACTCCTTGGAAGTGCCACTTTCTACAATCGGGCCACTTTCTAGTGTCTGTCCCCACCACTCCCATGCCCTGGGGCTCCCCGTGCCCTAGGCCCCCCTAAGCCCTGGGCTCCAGCATTGCAAACCCACCCCCTTCTGCAACTGACAAAGGCTGCCTCCTACCTCCAGGCCTTTGTACTCTGACACTGTGTGTTTGCCTCCTTGGCTCACCACCCTGCCAGCCTCCCCTGCTCCACAGTGTGGTTGAGTAACTGCCCGCTGCTCGGCGCGGCCACCCCTTCTCCATGCTGCTTGCTGCGCTGCACTCGCAGGCTTACTGATCTGCTGTCCCCCTAGATTGTTAGCTCCTGTCATTTTTGTATTCCCATTACTTTGAAGTATCTGGCACACAGCAAATTCTTACGAATAATAATAGCAAATTGCTTATAGTGCTCTGACCTGCGATCTGTACCATTATTGAATCATGTGATGCTCCAATTCTGTGCCGGAGGTAGGTGCCATCATTAAAATGTTTTACTTTAAGAAACTGGGGCCCAGAGAGGTTAGGTGACTTGTTTGGAGTTGCACAGCAGCTAATAAGTAGTGGAACCAGGGTTCAGCCCCATCAGTGGGGCTTTAGCCTAGCCCAGTACCAAACAGGTCAATTCTCACTGCATGAATGAATGAATGAATGAACCCATGATTTTGCCTGGAGAAGTTTAGCCGTAAGACAGCGAGAATGAAACACTGAGGAGTGGGGACCAGATGAAAGAATTTTCTGAGAGCTAGGGAATGAGGAAGCTTCATGGAGAGGTGACTAGCCAGTCCTTAAAACGAGGTGAGTCTAACTTCAGGAAAGGATGCAGGGAGGTGTCCTGTGGGCTGGGAGGATCTGGCCAGCTCGCAGGAACACGGTCTGGGGCAGAACCCGCCCGGAGGAACGGAGGGATACCAGAGTGAGAAAAGGCAGTGAGAACTCTGGGTGACACAGTATCCCAGGCTCAGAATCTGGTCCTGTGTTGACCCCAAATACTGCTTATCTCATGACCTGGGTATGGGGTGCCCCATCCTTCAGGGACAAAGGCGGGCCTCAGCAGATCTGACCCCATGCGGCAGTAGCCTTGGCCCCGAGGCCTGTAGGTAGGGCTCACACCTGCTTCGCTGGCCAACCATCCCAGTTGTCCTTGGCTTTTCCTAGGAAAAGTGTTGTCCAGCAGAATGCCCCTGTCCTGGACAATCTGGGACAGGTGGTCACCCTACCCCCAGAACAGGAAGAACAGGAAATCTTGCTTCTCCCACCCTCTTGTCCTCTGCCCACAGCACTCCATCCCCTGTAGGCCCAGGCAGACTCCAAGGCTGAGAGTGATATCACTATGGCGAGGGCCACACAGCCCCGACTCAGGCCATCCCAGGGGAGCCACCGGCATGCCAGCTGCAGGAGCTCTTCAGTCAGCTCTGCCTCTCCTGGACCCCAACACAAAGCAATTCTGTTCACCTCAAGCCAGTGCTTTGTAAGCACCTAGTGTCATGTGTACAGGGACAGAACCCCTCCATTATGCCCAAGGTGATGGAGACAGAGGGGGTGGCAAGAGTAGCAAGGTGGAGACAGACCTGTGAGAGGTAGGGCAGGGAACATTTGAGGAGGGCCTTGAAGGCAGGAGAGGATTCTGATTATAGGGGTGGAGGGGATGAGGGTGGGAGGGGACAAGGTGTTTCAGAGGGAAGAAACTGCCTTCAAAGCCAGGGCTGGAAAGGTGAGGTGGCTTGGGCAGCACAATAGGTTTGCACAAAACCTGGCAGTGGGCAGCTGAGCATAGCGGAGGAGGTTTGGCTTGAGGCAGGCCACTGAGTACTGGCCATGGGGTCTAGGCATCTTCCATAGCCAATGGGAGTGGATCACAAAGCTTGTGTTGTTCACACACACACACACACACACACACACACATTTATTTTTTCTTATAAAAATATGTTCATTGAAGGAAAATGTGAGAGTTATAAAGAAGAAAATAGCAATCACGTTCCCATCTCTCAGATGGAACATTTAGCAGCCTCACATGTCATGGAGAATGATTCCATATGTGGAATATGTAATTTCTCCCACATGGGGTCAGAATTTACATGCTCTATTATTTCTGATTTTTTGTGTATCAATATATTGTGTGATGTCAGGACATTCAATTTTTAATGTCTGTCATTCTATTTTATTTACTATTATGTCTTTGATAAATTTATTTGCAAAACCAACCCCTTATAGTTGTTCTTTAAATTTTTTCTGTTATAAATAAGCTGCAGTGAGCACTTGCTGGGTGAACTCTGTCCCTGTCTCTGGTGGTTTCTTTAGTAGAATTCTAAAGTGGAGTGGCTGGGAGCAGAGGAGGTGTGGTGAGTGGGTAGGTGGTGGTGATCAGGGGCCAGGGGAGCAGGGAAATCAGTTGGAGGTAATGAAGCCTTGGAGAGCTCTGGTGGGAATGGCAAGGAGCAGGTGGGAGACAATTATGGGATAGTAAGCAGTTGGGGTCAGGCCAGATAAGCAAGTTCCTTGTGCCACCCACATGGAAGCTTCCAGGTAGCAGGTAAAAGCTAGCAAACCTGATCACAGGCCTGAATGTGAATTCCTGCCATGTCTCCTACTAGCTGTGTTACTGGGGTAGGTTATTTGGCACCCCATTAAAACAGGGATGATAATAGCTACTTCCTAAGATCATTGTGAGGGTAATTGAGAGAATGCCAGTAAAGTAGATAAGGCACATAGATAGTGTACAATAAATGTTTGTTATTATAGTAATGTAATAATTCTCCTGACTACCTTGCTTTGCCTAATACCCTTCTAGAAAAAACTCCATGTAATTAACAACTTAAATTAGCAATGCTGCCTAGAGCTTGGACCTAACACCCTGCTCCACGTGTGCTGGAGCACAGACCCTGGGCTAAATCACACCCTTGCAGTAAGTGTTCTTCTCTTACAGAGGATGAAAGTGGTGCTTAGAGAAGGGAGCCGTGCTAAGGGGGTCAGGCTCAGTACTCCCCCACTGTCTACCTCCCTGGTACCACCTGGTTAGCAGTGAGGCTGCAGGACGCAGGCAGGCTGCGTGGGGAAGCCTCTGTCATCAGATTGTACTCATTGTCATTATCTTCACTGGCACCGCTAACCAGGCTCCATTCCAGTGGCTCAGTGCCCTTCACACACAGAAATGCCCCGTGCTCCTGCCAGGAGCGAGGGCAAGTTGCACAACCATCTGATTTCACACAGCGTGTGGCCAACCAAGCTGGGCAGAAGGTGAGAGTCTGGCCCTGGCCAGTCCAGAGCCCTTGGCGGATGCCCTTTTGTGGGGATCGTGGGTTTCTTTCCATGCTGAGCAAGATGGCACAGCCCCCAGCTGAGCTCGACAGCCACCCAAGGGAGCCGGCAGGGCAGCCTCTGCTCAGTGTACTGGCCGGGCTGACAGGCTGCCGTTAGGAGTTTTCGATATTCAGGCAGAGGGAGACTTGGACTCTGCTTCCCCCGCTTACGGAACACAAGCCTTCAGGGACGTTTCTCAGTCTGGGAGGTCTCCCCACAGTCCAGGACAACACCTAGCCCCTCCTGGCCA